CCCCCCTTCTTTGGCAACACAGAAAGGAGAATTCTACTGCCTGAGGGATATAATCAGGGTTGTTGCGAATATTATTCCGAAATAAAAGTCTTTTCCGGATAATAAACAAACCGCTTATCCAAATTAAACAAGTTTGGTATCAAATGAAAGAGTACTTAAATAGCTTTAAAACTGAAATGTCTAAACGAGGAAAGCCACATATTGAAAAATATTTCAACAAAAAATGTTGATCAATTACCATAGAACAAACCTTGTATCAGGTATATCACTCGCGCGCACTGCTGTGCGCTGTGATGCATTTATTTAGTATTAAATTATACAAAAAATATAAAGAGAGGTCGTTCGTTATTTCTGTTTAAAAGCTATTTCAGTCCTCTTTTATATGATACCAAATATGTTTAATTTGGACAGGCCGTTTGTTTATTATCCGGAAAGAACTTTTATTTTGGAATAATATTCGCAACAACCCTGGTTATAATCACTAAGTGCGGCCGAAGGCCGCCTACGCAAAAAGTAGTTGGACGCCTGGTTCCGCTAAAGTGCACTTTTACCCAAATGGATATTTAGGCTTTTTTAAGCGAAAAAATACAGCAAAACGTAAGCAAAAATTGTGACTTTTGTCATTTGTCTAAGGTCCCAGTCGCAGGCTGCATTTTTGTGAATGACGGTTCATGCCCTATATAAAATGGGTGGGAGGAATTGCCACTCCGCCTCCCCCTTCGCCCCTTTAACCATCATCCATATAGGAAAGCCAACCCAAGATCTATGATATTATTGTACTTTCTCTTAATAACTGAAATGAAAATTAAAAATACGACGTCCGCAATGGAGCAATTTGGTCTTACCTGTGACTTGTCCATCAGCAGTGTGCTCTTCGGTATTAGCAAGTTGCATATTCATATACCCATCTACGGAGACTAAGTATCCTTTATACTCATGACCCCATTTCAGTTTTATTATAACAGCTTTTCCTGTCAATCCATTTAGGAATGGTTTTGGATTAATTGGCATAGCAGCAGACATGATTGCAGTTATTTTTTTTCGTTTTGTGATTTGATTAGTTTGCCAAGTTCCCCAGACGGCACCAGATATTCCTATCCTCCTAAAGTAAACACCGGCAAAATAAAAATTACACGCGCTTAGTTATGGGCTATAAATCAATTAATCGATAGTTAGGGTATCGCCTACCAACAAAATACTCGATACGTTGATGAGACCAGGGTTTGTGCAGACTAAGGCTGAGTTCCAAGTTAGTATATTGCAAAGCATCAGTCTCTTTTATGGCAGCGGCAGTTTTTCGAAATCAGTCGTTTTTTAGAAAGTGTTGTGTATGATGAAGCGCAGCACAATACAGCAGCGGCAGGAGGCAGTACTGCTCAGCTTAGCCCAAATTCTAAATTCACTGCCACTGCCTTTATCGCAGCAAACTTCGCATGTTGAATTTGATATAAATGGAACGCAGCCAACTTATGTTGTTGTCACTGGAGCCTAAAAGGCAACAAAAAAAGGTAAACAAACAAAAGGAAATGTCAAAAAAAGCAGTCACTGACAACGCCGTATTGTGTTTGCTGCGGCAGTGACTGCCAATATTAGCTGTAACAGCTGATTTTAAAAACTGTCACTGCCACCGCGCTATTGTATTTTGGGCTTAACTGATGGAAATGTCCAATATGCGCAACCATGTTCAAATGCCGAATTGGAACTTAGTTGTGCAAATTGGTCATTTCCATCAGTTATAGTTTAGAAATACGGCCGATTCTGAACAGAAACTCCTTGGGAGTTTTCTCACTTTTTCCTTTCCTCCTATCATGAATAAAAATTCCCTGACAATTTTTTATATTAAAGGGCGGAGTTGAGCTGTCAAAAAAGTGTCGATACAGCTTTTTTGAAATTCAAATTTCCTCCTCCCAAATTTTCGGGAAAGTGCTACTCCCTGGGGATTAATTATTGGAGGATTTCTTTCTCGGGAGAAACAAGTTCCGGGGAGAACAAACTCCCCGGGAGTATTAAGGATTGGACTTAGGCCCAATTTCAGATAGGCTATTTAAGTAGAGATTGTTGATTAACTTCAAAAATTCATATTCAGATCATATGTACATTTTATCTGCATTTATATGGCCAATATTGGCTATTTATATGTAAGACATGGAGGCATACCTAAACAATAAGGACCAGTGAGCTAGAGAAAATAGAAAAAGTGGTTGTGGCCACGGGCGTAGCTAGGTAGGAGCAGGGTGGGCGAGCTGTCCGGCCCCCTTACAGCTACAAAGCGAAGGAGAAACTTTCAAAATCAATAAAAAAAAATACTTAATTGTAAAAATCAAAACCCAACAGAATTCTACATGTTAATTGCTATGCGTTGGGTAACCGCTTATACGGAATTTACATGAGGCGATTTTTCAGGCGATTTTTAGTTGAAAGCAACAATCGCCTGGTGTAAACGGCCTTTCAACTAATCGCTTTCATTAAAGTTGGTCGGCTGCATGATGCAATAATACAAGGTGCTATCGAGCTGTCACAACTGATACCGCCTTGTATTATTGCATCATGGGTCGGCTGCCTACTTTCGTTCAACTTTTGGTTCAACTAATCGCCTGTGAAAGTAGAATCATGTAAATTCCCTATTACACGCAAACCCGTTTAACAGATTCTTATGTGACAACTCTCATGCTAAGGGCCGGTTGCTCAAAGCCTGGTTGACACTAATCCCCGGTTAAACATCGTTATCGACGTTTTCGGCTCCATGCAAATAACATGGTGTCGGTAACGTCGATAACGATGTTTAACCGGGGATTAGTGTCAACCAGGCTTTGAGCAACCGGCCCTAAGGGCCGTTTGCACCATGTCTAGTGAACGCTAACTGGAGGTACATCCTTCAGTTAAGCACGTTAACTGCTTTATCGATCACATGTTATATGATGGGTGTCGATAACGTCGATAAAGGTGTTTAACTGGGAGTTAGAATTAACTAGACATGGTGCAGACGGCCCTAAGCTAAGTAAATCTGACTACTTCGGACTGAAAAGACACATTCTCACTGAGTGTTGCTCCCTCATTTTTGCTGTCATTTTCGAGTTAAGGAACGCTTTTTGGACTAAATCTGACTACTTTGGACTTTTTCTGACTATTTCTGGGAGATAAGGAACGTAACTATTGACTTTTTTATACTTTTATTTATATTGACTTTTCTGCCTTATCCTAAGTTTCGCCTGAAAAAAAATTTACCCGAAAATTTGTCATCCGCCCATAGTAAAACCATGGAAACCAAAACTAAAAAAGTAAACCGGTTCGGGGAAAATTAAACTCATGATAAGGCTGATTGTCTTGTTCTATCTTCCTTGACAATACAATCAACCTGCATGCCGTTTTGATCCTCAGTAAATATACAAGATGGAAATAACACAATCAGGTGAGCTGATAGGCAGGTCTTGCTGGTTTTCATTAGGTCAAAATCGCTGACATCATAAACTGCCTTCATCTTACAGCTGTTCATTTGGTGTCAAATGCGTTTTCATTACATTTTAAAAACTGATCAAGTGTCGATAAGGCAGTGCATGTCAAAGACTGTCGTCAAATTTCGGTGTCAGATGAGAGACATTCCGTTTTCATTACGATGTCAAATGTGATGTCAAATTTTTACAAAAAGTGTAGAATACCGACATTTTAGCTATACACAAACAAAAAATGTATTTATATAGACCTATTTATGCTGATTTCAACCTTACCGAAACTAGTTAGCGCAAGTAGAAAGTTAAGAAGATATGAGTAATCCACTTGCAAATTGCGCTATGTAAAATTTTTTCGAGTTTTGTTTTTGGTGGATTACGTACCAGTATTTAAAGTAGTTTCATGTCCACTAACAACACAGTGCAAAATCTTTTTATGTTCTGAAAAAATAGCATAAAATGTTAACTCTTCTTCCAAAAGTCGCTATCATACTTAATTATAAACTTTCAAAAGTATCCATCTTCTGATGAACCTAGAAAACTGCTTTAGGTCGTGTACACTGTTAATGTTATCTTATGTCATGGTATGTTATGTTATAATTTTATAAGGCTCTTATTTATCCAAATTTTCAGGCAATAACAAAAAAGATTCAATTTAAATGCTACTTGTTGCCGTAGTCGTTTTTTCAAATTTATAGCTTTCTATTATAAAATAACATAACGCTGATTGCAAGTGCAAGACTACTCATATAGGAGATTAAGTTAAATTCTTCGGAATTTTGAAATATCAATATCTTATGAACTACATAACCGATGAAACAACGAATGACGTCAGAATAAAGATGATTAGTTTATCTTTCAGTTGATGTACATAATTTTTCTGATTTTTTATATTTTTAAGTCAAAAATACTAAAAAACAAAAAATTTAACTTTTTCATTAAATTACCTTTTTTTAAAGAAAATTGCATTATTAACGCTACAGAGATTTATATTATTTAGAAAGTACAAGTCATTACCTTATATATAAAGGTTGTTATAGGGCAAAATTTAACGAAAGTAGTGGTAAAAATCGAAATTGTATATATATTTTTTAAATAGCGTTTACCAATCATTTGTTTTAAAAATGGTTATAATAAATACGTCGTAAAAAAGCTATTTAAATTATCTTTGAATTGGCGTCAATATTTTTCTAATCGGTCAAGTAGTTTCCGAGATATTAAACATATAAAAAATAGGAAAGTTGAAGTTCAACCTGTTGTATTTGTTTGTTTTTTACTTGCCCCAAATAATTTGGGTATGGTTGAAATCTGCGTGAAAAGTTCTATCGATCTGCATTTTTCGTTTTTTTGTAGCTAAACGGTCCGTATTGTAGCAAGAATCAGCTGTTCGCATGTCAAAAGAAATCAAAATTGCCAACGTGTTGGCAAAAAAATTTGGTTGTCAAATGCTGCCACATCAGCGGCGAGGGCCGTTTTCATTTGGGTGTCATTTTATATGACCGTGAGTGGTGATATATGACAACAAACGCAAATGACACCAGATGACAACCCGTTTTCATTATTTTGACAACATTTGGCGTCAAATATGACCTAAACTGACGACAAGTTTTAGTCAGTTTTCCCACTAATTCAACCGATAATCATAGGTCAGGCTTCTTGCTGAGGAATTGGGAGTAGCCCTGCAAGAAGCCTGACCTATGATTATCAGTTAAATTAGTGGGAAAACTGATTAGTGATTTTTCTGATCACTATTCAAAAGCCCAAAATACAATAACGCAGTGGAAGTGGCAGTGGCAGTTTTTCGAAATCAGTAGTTTTTTAGAAAGTGTGGTGTCCAATGAAGCGGCTCACAATACAGCAGTGGCAGCTGGCAGTACTGCTCAGTTTAGCCCAAATTCTAAATTTACTGCCACTGCCTTCACCGCAGCAAACTTCGCATGCTGAATTTGACATAAATAAAATGCAGCCATTTTCTGTTCATGTCGCTGAAGCCTAAAAGACAACAACAAAAATGTAAACAAACAAAAGGGAATGTCAAAAAAAGCTGTCACTGACAACGCCGTATTGTGTTTGCTGCGGCATTGACTGCCAATATTAGCAGTAAGAGCTGATTTTAAAAACTGCCACTGCCACTGCGTTGTTGTATTTTGGGCTTAACTCTAAATAATTGATAAATCAGTGAATAGATGGCAGCGAAATATCCAAAAATTCATGAAACCAAATTAAAAAATACAATTCGAATATTGTCGAATATTAACTTAATTTCGCAAGCTTTTTCAGAGCCACTGTGCTCAGACAATTCTTTTAATTTTTCATCGGGGTCTGAATTTTCGTCGCTAAAAACAAATGATTCAGCGCCGTTTGGTCTTTCTACCTCCATTCTTAGGTTCTGCTGGAGTCCCACGTTACCCTTGCACTATATTTCAGCACTGTAGTCACTGACTCCACAGTCGGCCTAAGCGCACTGCCTTCAAATTTTTTCTTCTCTATCCACATAGCGCTAAAAAAGTTTTTTTTGCTCATTATTTAATATACAAATAGAATATACGGATTTTTATTAATTCTTTATTTAAATTCACCGACTTCTTTATTTTGCACCACAGCTAACAATGAAGTAAAATCGGTTAAATTAGTGGGAAAACTGACTAAAACGTTTCATCAGTTTAGCGGTTAGTTTTGTATGGGCTTGGGGAAAAAA